AAAAGATTGTAACTCAATCGGCAATCCTCGGCTGATTCCGCTACACTCCATTCATGCGAGGTACTTGTAAGCCATCCGAGGAAATCCTTGTGACCTTTACTTGGAAAGGTTATTGCCCTTTGTTAACTCTCCTGTTTAAATGGCAGCATCCCGTTATTATTTCGGAAATTCCAAAGTGTTCACTTTCAAACAGTCACAAAGTTTAAAAACTAAAGGTAAATTATGTGTTTTACGGTGCGGTCGTTAGCGTTAGGGAGTTACCAATATGCGGCTTTTTATAGTTTGACACTGAAATAGGTATGAACAATTACAGGTGTTTTAGGAGTAGAGTATCAAAGAGTGCTTTTTTAAATGAAAGGTTACTTTCACATTTATTTATATAATACAGATTTGATTGTACTACTTTGTGAATGTGCCTATTCAAAATACTCTGTAAAACAAAGTCGAAAAAACTTGCGGTACGTTACGCAAGGCAGGGGAGGGGGGCGGGAAGGGGAGGGGACGTCCTTAAACACATGTCATTCAACACCCTCGAGTACAACATTATATAGACACGCACACACACTCACACACAATATTTGAAAACGAACCCCCATTGCAACTGAGCTCGTAAAAAATTCATAAGTTTTATATTTTATGTACAGAGAAAATTCAAATTGACTTTCCTATGCATACTTAGTACCCATAGTTTATTAATACAAGTGCACATTATGACGTATTTGAAGTAAAAAAAAAAAAGTCCACAAGCAGTTACACATATATAATTATATACATGATTTACCTTGATTTGGGGGAAAAACACAGATTTCAATAGTTTGTTTCGTTTCGTTTCGGCAGGTTTCGTTTTGATTATGTTTCGTTTCGTCTTGATTTCGTTTCGGTAGATTTTGTTTCGTTTCGGTAGATTTCGTTTCGTTTCTTTTTCGTTTCGCACTTTACAGGTACCCTGTCCAAATATCATCTCCAAGATGTTGAGGTACAACCCGGGCATCGTTGTAGTGTGCTTAGGGGGAAACGACATTTCCAGTGGAGCCGAGGCGTCTACAGTCATTGACTGTCTGACAAGCCTTTTCGACCAAATTAAAGTCTTGAGTCCCAGCTGCAGACAACCAGAGATTTTCTTCACAGATATTGTTTCTAGAGGAAAATTTCGATTTCCTCTGCAGCGTGAGGAGGTTGTTAAGGACTGTAACGTTATGTCCGCCATAGGACTGTTAACAATAAGATGAAGACAATCCTTGGCAGAACCTACATCAGAATAGATGTCAAATTTCCCAGACATTACCTTTCCGATGAGACCCACTTCAACCGGGCGGGAACAGTCCTCTTCTTGCTTTCAATAAGCAAGACCATCAAGAGTCGCTCCTAGAAGTTGACAATAAACAGCCCTTGTAGGGGCAATTCAATTAATCGAAAAGATACCTATTAATACAGACGTAGAAACATCACACCTAACGTACATGTATATGCCCATTTATTTTACCGAACTTACCGGTAAATGAAAAAGAAATACGTAATACCTATAAATATACACATATAGTATGTAATACACAATGACTAAAAACTTCTTTTTTATAATTCCCGGATATATCGGCTCAAGTGATATTTGCTCGAACTTTTATTTAAACTCGTCATATCTCGTCATATCTACACAAAACATTTTAGTTAGGTATTTAAAACAAGAAATATTTTGATTTAAGCGGCAAACCACAATATTCCTGTTATTAGGCAACAAACTGAAATTACTTTATCTGTTATTAATAGAATCATAAAAAATCTATAAATATGCCACATTAAAACAGTGCATGCAATATTGCAGGCGCGTATTTTATTTGAACAACCGATTTTTTTTTCATACATAAATTTTATAAGTAGCCTATCACGAGCTAATTACCGGTACTTGTGTTAAAACACAACAAATATTCGGAATCTCACTCACTCTAGCATATCCCAAAGGAGATATACCCCCCCTATCCCATCCAGATTTGCTAAATTGCATTTCCTTTTATTTTGGAAAAGTATAAAACGTGCTTTATCCTTGTCTGCTGCAGCAAAAATTTCGTTTTTGTGATAAATTAAAATTTTACATATAATGAAAATCCTTAGGAAATGTATACAGTCATGTACAATCTGTACCTATATGTACATGCAAATACTCTCTCCGCTTCGAATTTCGTCAATCAGGATACGTCGTTTCCGGGATCCCCCTTTTAACTTTATCTATCACGTGACTTTCATCATCACGTGATAAAAAGTTAGGCATATTTTGTTCATAATGGCGGCGGAAAGTCACCGAAACAAATCCGTGGCTGAATTGAAGGCATTTTTGTCAGATAGAGGCATCAATACATCACTTTATCGCAAAGATGCATTAATACGTATTGCAGAAGCTGCATCTGCGTTAAATCTAGAGCCTGAGACGGAGAATTATGGGAATTATCAGACTGAGAGAGCAAATCGAAGAAGTGTGATAGTCCAAGGAACTTCTGTGACTTTACCTGATATCTGTTCCGTATCAGACTGGCAGCAAGATTTGTCATTACTTCCAAATATTGAAACAGGGGACATCATGGTTTACCTAATGACAAAGTGCTCGTGGACCGAATCGCGGCTTAAGGCATACAAAAATGACAATGGCTACAAACTTTTTCAACATAGACACATTGACAATGTTGTTGTCAAATTCTTATCGTACAACCATTTCTATATAAAATGTACATGTGTTCCAGAAACTAGACAGTCAGAAAAGCCATACACAACATGGATTCTTATGGATAATGATGGCACTGTAAAATCTGGGGGTTGTACTTGTGTTGCGTAAGTTAAATGTTTATATTTGTATATTGAATAGTTGAAAAAAATGTTGAATATCTTAAAGTTCTTGCTCATATGTGATTAACAGATTGCCATAAGTTTAAAAAATATTTTACCATAAACTTGATAAAGTATACATTTAAGGAATGTTTTTCAGTTTTGTGTGAGTTATTGGTGTGTGAATCACACAGACTTGTCACGTAGGCATATTTCATGAAGCGCGCTAGCGCTTCATGTAAAATATGCCTACTTGCAAGTCTGTGTGATTCTCACACCAATAATTCACACTAAACTTAAAAACATTCCTTATATTTACATTTTACATGTTTGGTAGCACCGAAAATATACTCAATATTTGAATTTCTCGCTGCCCTATATTGTTATACTTTTACTAATGTCGCTGTAGTCCTATTGTGACGTCACGGTAACTAACTCACGTTTCTCCATGTATATTTCTACGCGTGAGTATACACGAAAATGATTTTCAAATCAATTTCACAGTTGGCTTAGTAGAAAAACACAGCGAATGTAAATATTAATGTATGAAAAATGGAGAATACCAACAGGTTCTTTACTTTGATGTAGTGCTGGAGCTCCTTTAAACTTTATACCTCCCAGTTACATATTACCGGTAATTATTTACTACATATTTTTCAACAATTGGAGCATTCAACTTGGTATCCTTACTTTATTTCAGTGATGACGGAACATGCAAACACTGCGTGGCTTTGTTATTTTCTCTTCAGTCCTTTTCTGAGAGACACAAGGATAGGGGAGAGGAAACCTGCACAGACAAACCATGCAAGTGGGACAAACCAAGGATAACTTCACACCCAGTCACTGTTGAGGAGATATCGTTTCGTAGGAATTCAAGTCATCCAGATAAAAAAGACAATTACAACCCGGTTTCAAATCAAAGGCATATATCACACAGGGAGATCACAAAGATATTGTACAAAACATGTAAACATTATGGTTCTGTGTTTATGCACACTGTAGATCCACCTTCGGATGACAGTAGTGATGAAGAAGATTCATTAGAAATCAAGGAACTCAGTGATATAATAAGTGATTACAAACAACAAAATCCAATCGGAAATGAAAATGAGTTGATTGATTATCTCAGAAAAATTCATTCAAAAGATGTAATTAATCAAATAGAAAATTTGACTAAGGATCAAACAGATAATGCCATGTGGTACAAATACAGGAAAGGTCGAATTACAGCTTCGGTGATGGGTTCTGTTTACAAATGCAGAATTGAAAATCTTGCAACAGAAAACTATATTGTGAAAAAAATTTTTGGCAGATCTTCTTTTTCTTCTGCAGCTACAGAATATGGGAAAGCAATGGAAAGTGTAGCTCTTCAACAATACTTCTTTCAATACTCTAAAGATCATTCAAAAGCCCAAATTATGAAATCTGGTTTAGTAATTAGTGAAAATTATCCTTTTATAGGTGCATCCCCAGACAGTTTAATTTCTTGCCAGTGTTGTGGTAATGGCATTGTGGAAATTAAGTGCTCATACACCCATCAGCATAACTTTATCAAGGACATTGCTGCAAGTAATGACTATCACATACTTTTACACGAGGATAATATTGTATTGAATAGATCATCCTCATGGTACACTCAAATTCAGACTCAACTTTTCTGCACTGGACTTCAGTGGTGTGATTTTGTATTATATACCCGAAAAGACATGGCAATTGAAAGAATTGTATTTGATCCAGAATACTTTGATTGTTGTTTAAAAAAAGCTTGTATCTTTTTCCACAAATTCTTGACATAAGTTGTATAAATAAAATACTGAGTGATTGATTGCTTTATTATATCAGAATCAAATTATACACTTAGATCATGATTAGAGTTAAACAGTATAAGTATCAACAGCCTTAAACATTTGATTACAGGTACACAAAAAATTGTACAAATTTTTTTCAGTTGATATCAATAACCATATAATCATTGTCAAAGATAAATGTAACTTCTACAGAATTCAGTCAATTATCTGACCAGGTTTCACAAATGGTAACTTCTATAGATTTATGTCAAATATCTGACCATGTTTTACAGATGGTAAATGTAGTACAAGTGTATAACTCATGATTTACAATTGAACATAGACAGTGCAAGTTAGTAGCACTAAAGTAAATGCAGATATTTGTCGTTCTTTTTTTCAAGATTGATGACAAAATTAAATATTGTTTAAAATGAGATCATGGGATTTATTTGATTCAAACTGCATACAGTGTCACTTGGTTACAAGAGGTTTCTTTAAGTTACAAAAGAATGCACCTAAAATGATCATCGGATTGACTAAAGATTTCATACTCCAGGGTAGAATCTGAGAAATTAGTTTAAATGATTTCAACCTTTGAATGGCTCTCTCAACATGGATTCTCAAATTTGCAATTTGACGGGTTTTTTTAATTTGAGTAGATGTAAGGTACTTCCCTTTGCCCCAAGTACACTTACGAGTAAATGGTGGTATATTCAGATAAGCATGTCTCTCTGTAAGTAAATCTCGAATGGTGAAACCCCGGTCAGCCATAATCTCGTCTCCCGGTGACACATAATCTAAGAAACCAGAATTCATGGTAATGTACCTGTCAGAAGTGTTCCCTCCCCATATTTGAGACACAAAGTTAAAAGCACCTGTTGGTGTAATGCTCACCAGAAATTTAAAGGTGTTGTGAGATTTATATGTACTATATGTCCTAGCATTTACAGAGGGGTCCCTGGGTCTCTGAATGAAAATCTCTGAACAGTCTATGATAGCTCTGGTCCTTGGAAATTTGTAAAAAGATTTTGGCATGAACTTCTTCACTAGTTCTCGGGATGGCCAGAAAATGAAATCTTTAAACATGAAATACATATAAAAAATCCAGGTTGAGAATATAGAAGAGATTCTGGAACAAGACACCCCAAATAAATCAGACATAACTACCACTGGCAATGCAAGGCGAAATCGCACAAGTGTAAGGATCAATTCCTGGTACCTTGATAGCTTTCTAGATGGACCGGGCTTATTCCCTCTATTTTGATAGCTTTTTTCGTTTTCGCTATGTTCACCGGTCCAGTATTTCAAATTTGGTTCATACTTTAATGTTAAGTCACTAATTTTATTAAAAGTTTCTAAATTTGGTAACCCAGTATATTGTTGGATAGATTTGTCATTTTTGGTTACTTTTTCAATGAACAGGTTTCTGAGAAGTGCATCTTTATCACTGAGTTTTGCCTTTAATTGTTCATTTTCTCTCGAAGTGTTGTTCATGTCTTCAGAAGTGAGGTCTGTCTGTGTACCTTTATCTTCAACATCATCACTGGTTGTTAGAAACCTGTCTACAAGTGGTCTGCTGTAGCTGTGATCTGTTTCAGTAGTTGTGGATGGTGCTAAGTAAATATATACATGATATATATAAATATATACATAAATAATTAATGCAAACAATTTTCTGTCAATTAACATCTGCACATTTTGTATAATTATACATGTATCGATATAAATAAAAATTCTGAGTACCGTTTTATCCCCAGTGCAGTATCAGGGTAATGAATTGAATTTGTACCTGACTCTGAAAGTTTGCAAGACTCTACAACTGTTTCATACACAGCAAATGGCAGGCCCACACGTATGTCTACTGGTACGTGCTGCTGAGATGACGATGATACTTGCAGCATATGTGCTGGGTCTGTAAAAGATAGTTTTTTATTACTAGTCCAAAAGAACTTCATTGAATGTACACTGCATGGGTGATTATTATGAGGACAGCTCTATTTACAATAAATTCATTCCATATTACAGGGCTGTCCCTAAGACCTGAGAGCCAGGGGATTCTCCCCTTTAGTCAAATTAGTGGCATATGATGCCCTGGTTATTTTGGGATTGTCCCTCAATTTAGTAACCCCAAGTTTTCCTTCTATTTTTTAAATGCAACCCACTATTTCAAATCCTTGGGGACAACCCTGCATATGATGTTCTTACCAGGTAATGTGTATTTGGAAAAGATGGTAACCTCAGATGTTAGTTATACACATGTAATCATATCAAATTAAGATGGATATCAGGTGAATAATAAATAATTGTGCTAAGACTGGACCTATGACTGATATGAACAGCTGATAAGGGTGATCTTAGCTCAAAAATGCATACATTAATGATAAGTAATTTGTATACTTTTAGCTGTTGTCTTTATGTAGGGTTGGCCCATATATTTACATTTGTCATACCTGAGTTTTCCTTGTCTTGGAATGCAGGTACTGTTGCACTTTGCTCCATTGCTCGTTCTCGCTTCTCAATAGACAGGGGTTTTGTTGTAGATACTGATTTGTAATTATTCCATGGGAAAAGTTCTGGGATTGTATGATTTTCTGAGCGACAATTTCCTACGAAATGTTTCGTGCAAACTCTGTGATGAGCTAAAGGTTCATATTCTTTGGGGCGCCGTATCATGGTGATCCATTTCGCTCGAAGTTTTGGCTCTTTGCGTTTCGTTGGGAAGGGTTCAAAGGAGACATCCTCCATCCAAGGATATTTATCTAGTTTATTTTTCTTTCTTGAATCGGAATTGCACCCTGGTACAACACACCAATACTTGCCCTTTGATTCGGGAGTATTTTTTCGACCCACCATGATTTGTTTACGTTTCATAAAACCCCGCGTCAAAATGTGCCTAACTTTTTACAGAGTCACATGATCAGCGTAGACTAAAAGTAGAGTCGTAACGGATCAGAGAAATGACGTATTCGATCAGAATTCTTACCCGATTATTTATTTTATTTTAACTGCATTAAATTTTTACAACATGCCATTAAATTCTCAAATACCGTAAACAATCAAGAGGAATTAAACAAATCTCCATTAATTGATCGAAACAATGTAGTTCAATGAAATCATTTGTAGCAAATTAGATTAGACAAACCGTTATCATTAATAAACACTATTTTCAATCATTGACGGACATTTTGTTTGGGCAGACATAACGACAAGACAATTTTGGATGATCGGTGGACACTTCGTGACGGCAGAAATAGTGTGACGATTTTTTTTTTGGGGGGGGGGGGGAGGAGGCGGACATTTCTCGGCGGCGGACATAATATTACTAATTTTTTGGGGAGAAAGGCGGACATTTTGTAGCGGCGGACATAGTATGACTATTTATCCGAAAAAGAGGCGGACATTTCGTGACGGCGGACATAACATGACGATTTTTCCGAAAGAGAGGCGGACATTTCGTGACGGCGGACATAACGTGACGATTTTTCCGAAAAAGAGGCGGACATTTCGTGACGGCGGACATAACGTGACGGCGGACAAAACGTGACTCAACAACTATAATCAGAAATTCAAATTAAGAATTGTTACATCGATACGTGTACCAAATTATGGTTTTCTATTTTGCTTTGTTGAAAAGGAATCAACTTGAGAAGATAAGTAGTCATTATTGAAAACGACAAAAACGATGACGTTTTCGAACGTCACGGAGCAGCAGATACCGAAGCAATTTTGTGTTTTCCTCAGGAAAAATCCTGAATAAATTCTAAAAATATTAAAGGAATCAAGAAAATATGTCACAAGTGAGTTGTGCATGTGTGTACAAACAGTACAGGCAATATTTGAGTGACAAATACTCTGTATCGGATGAGGATGACCAGTGAAGAAACGGTTTTACTGTATACATCTGAACAAAACTTTAAAATTTGAAACGTAAATGAAAGACAGAGGCGCTTCAGAGTTGCTCATCTTGTGAAAGCAGAGTAAATTACCAAAAGAAATTAAAAACTTATCAAAGGAAAATATACAATGAAATCAATTCTTGAAAAATAAATTTCAAGTATTAGAAAAAGAATTTAATGAATGGGGATTGGAATATTCTGTGTAAAATGTATAGGTATAGTATCTATTATAAATTCACGACGCTGTGTGTTGACGTTACATTGCCGTTTTGTGTGCTCCGCGGGTACTAAACATAGTGATTTTAAAATGAAGTAAATTTATTTGTGTTGAATCGAATGGAATGAAACTTCACACATCAACAAAACAAATATTTTTACATAATATAATGTGCTTCTTTGAAATTTCTAGTGAGTAATATAACGAAGATGGACATCGTCCACGAACTTTTCGAACAACCCTCGTACATGACAAGTACATATCTCTCAAATTTCTTTTATTTATGCATAACTGGATTATAGCAAATAAGAAAAATGTTAAATATCATTTCTTGTTGTTTATCCAACGTTGATAAACACTTCTCTCTCTCTCTCTCTCTCTCTCTCTCTCTCTCTCTCTTGGAAAAAAATAGGTGAGATATAATCTAAACTGACAAACCTTTGTTTGCCTTATATTTTTTTTGCGCAGAAAGGACCTTACAACGAACATATAACCAATCGTTGAATTAATAGCAACGTTTACGCCGAACACAAGTTTACATTCTAATTCGAACACGTGTTTCGGGTCAATCTATGATCATGTGAATGGAGTGAAACATAATAAAAATGTTTTTATGAACAACTGTGGGCTTTTTTCTGGTTAAGAACACAAGTGTTTCAAGGGAAAGGAAAACGAATAGCATCTTTAAAGCATTTAATTGACTAAATTTTCTTTACCTAGCTATACTCGTGATCACGTGTTTTTGCCAGGGAATTCACCTTACAATTGAATTCGCCAATAGTACAACAATTGAACAAAGGAAGTAATACAGACGCAAATCGCTTTGTAGTGTGACTTTGAGAAACGTAGACTCCCACCTTTTATTTAACAACTGAATTTTTTATAGTGTTGGCAAATCGGACAATTTTTATTGACCGGTTACTCGCTTAATCTTCCGATCGAGTACCCGGTTACTCGGATGTTTTTTTTGTTATAGTTTCCGTATTAATTATTAATCTCATCCTTTTACATATTGATAGAAATAAATAATAAATGTTACATATATGAACTTTATTTACAAATACAAACTCCAGAAACACAATATCTTCGAAGAATTTTGATTTTAAATGTCACTTGAAACAAGGAATGTGTTTTTGTTTAAGAAAATAATTTTATCAACACATTAAGAAGATATATGTCGTGATCGAGGAGAATTAACATACCCTGTAACACTTTTCAATTACTGGTTAATTTTTGTTGAGTTTCATGCAAATCACTGGTTATCGAATTATTTTCAATCTTAGGTGATTTAGCATATTTGTAGTTCCAACCGTATACGACAACTCCGATTCACATAAATTGCATCTGACAGATTTCGAGTCAGCCGTTCTTTAACAATATTTCCATGCTTTAGATGTTTATATATGGCGGCATCTTGTTAAATTGTGTTCCTCTTACTAACACGAGTCTAAATGAGGTAATTATAACTCAGGTCTCCAAAACGTGTACCCCTGGCAATTAAAGTCATCAATTAAACTAATCAAAACAAATCGATCCTATTTGTGAACCACTAGAGTAAGCCTAACGGTAATTGAATTAGGGAAATGTGTCAGTATACATTTACAAATAACAAAAAATTATTTCAAACGTATTTACTATGAAAAATGTATTTTTTTCCGAGTAACCGAATAGCAGTTTTACTAACCGATACTCGCATCGTTCGACGGTTAACCGGTTAACCGGGTACTCGTTGCCAACACTAATTTTTTATAATTGTGAGCATGTAAATTATGTAGAAATTTAAAGCATGCTCTTCAGTTACCACTGACTTCCTTTTCCTTTTTTCAACCGTGAAATTCCTGTAGAACATATATTCGTAGCAACCTATAATGCAATTCTCATTCAGCTGATTTGTCAGTTAAAATCATGCTGGCGCCTCATTTGCTAATCTGACGCCAAAAATATAGTCCCGGTTCCGATGTAGAAACATTTCTTTATAAAAATGAAATTTTAATTCCTGACTGCTGAAAATTTTGATACAGAGTAAACTAGTCTTGTCTAAGTTTGAATGAATGTAAGAGAAATCGAATGAAGTGCATTTCTACACATATTATAGGGTGGTAAAAACTGAAACGCAACATAACCTTTCTGTTTACGTGTCTCCACGTGCTAGTAACTTACTAGCATCATTTCCGTAAATAATTTACCCTATCTCCCTGTCGTCTTGCTTACTCTCGCCAGAGACATCACCAGAGGTACTCTGAACTCTAAGGGTTTTATAATTCGAAGAACACCGAAAAATAAAAGGTTCTGAAAACATTAGTAGGGGCGTAGTATTGTATGTTAGGAAATCAACGATAGTGGGAAACATGTGATAATTTGCATAACGGGCGATAACAAATCACTGTGAAATAAAATTTTAGATTTTGATAATGTAGACATAGATTTAAATAAGATAAGAATTCCCTTGCACATGCCAATTTTAATAGATTCAATAGTTTTCACCCACTGACGTAAAACACAAAGACAGCCTCACGAGATTTGCTTGCATATTTGGCCTCCTTAGCGTCAGACACAAATACTGATGTGCACAACATTTGTCTGCATATAAGGCCCCCTGACTCCTGACATATAGACCTTCATAAAATACATTAATGGAAGAATTATTAGGAAATCTACTCCACTAACTTTCAAAGAGATCTTAGAAAATATATTAGAAATGGAAATACATTTATATGGGTATTAAGGATAAATACATGTATAATTTTTTTTCCTGAAATCAGCAATATTTCTCATACATTAAAATTAATAATCTTCATTTTGTTTTCCAAGTTGGAGAATTTATAAGATTTTCCCATACGGTTAATTTTTTTGCAAAATTTTATGTGGAATTAAATACATGTGGATAGTAAAACATAGTCTCAAATCTAAGCATCAAGGAAAACCAACGATTTCTATATATTTCAGGGATAAATTATTTATGTAATATCAAATCGAAATCAGTCAAAATATATATCAATCCATGCATCAAATTTTTGTTTACGTTAAGTACATGTGTCCTGTATTTTATGTATTTTAAAGGTACTAGGCTATGACTATAGCCCTCCCCTATTCTCCTTGTTTAAAAGATAATTACTGATATTTATTTTCATAAATTTCGAGAGGGATAAAATTTAACCAAAAAATTTCTTCAATGTTTTGATCTTTAAATTCATACATGACGAGAAAAACCGGGAAGGGGGTGCCTATCGATAATTTGCCATGATGCAGATTGCTATAGAAAAGTACAAAGTTACAGTAACTGTGTTCTTGTACACCTGATGGACCACTTGGTTTATTTTAAGTAAACTTGGTACAAAGCATCCAACCCTAACAAAAAATACAATAGTTAACTATAGTTATAACTTTGACACTTTGAAAACTTTGACAAAAACTTTGACACTTTAAAAAAATTGGCGAAAACTTTGACACTTTGAAAAACTTTAGTGAAAACATTAACTTTGACACTTTGAAAAAACTTTGGCTAAAACGTTGGCAAAAACTTTGACACTTAAAAAACTTTGGTGAAAAGTTTGACACTTTGAAAAACTTTGGCGAAAAATTTGACAGGTTGAAAATTTTGGCGAAAACTTTGAAACTTTGAAACAAAATTTCCTTGTCAATGTTTGTAAACTCAGACATAGTGTTTGGGGAGTTTCAGCAACTCCGTGAGGTACTCATCCAAGGTTTGTCCTTCCTTTTGTTTGCAATTTCTGAATGTG